ATGGAAGCCAGTCCCTTTCCTCTCTCTCCCAGAGGGGCCCGCCTGGGGAGCCCAGCCCTGCATGCCACCCTGGTGAAGCAGCTGGCCAGTCTGCCTGTCTTCTGGCTCCGAGGCCCACCAAGCCTCTCCACACCCCTCACGGGGGGCCCCCCAGCCACCAGCTGAGGGGCGCAGGCCTCTTGCCTGGGCAGGGGTGTAGCTGGCCTCCCCGCCCCCAAGGCCAGCACCGCCCTTTCCTGGCAGGACAGCGGGATCCTGCAGCTGTCAGGGGAGGGGCGGCGGGGGGTGATGTCAGGAGGGATACAAATAGTGCAGCCGGCGAGGGGCCATCACCCTCCACATCCACTCTCCAGCCGGCCGCCCGACAGACGCAGCCTCGTCCGAGCCCGCCCAGCCTCGCCCGCGCCGCCACCATGAGCCAGGCCTACTCGTCCAGCCAGCGCGTGTCCTCCTACCGCCGGACCTTCGGCGGAGGCCCCAGCTTCTCGCTCGGCTCCCCCCTGAGCTCACCGGTGTTCCCGCGCGCGGGCTTCGGCTCCAAGGGCTCCTCGAGTTCCATGACATCCCGCGTGTACCAGGTGTCGCGCACGTCGGGCGGGGCCGGGGGCCTGGGGTCCCTGCGCTCCAGCCGGCTGGGGTCCACCCGCGCCCCATCCTACGGCGCGGGGGAGCTGCTGGACTTCTCGCTGGCCGACGCCGTGAACCAGGAGTTCCTGACCACACGCACCAACGAGAAGGCAGAGCTGCAAGAGCTCAACGACCGCTTTGCCAACTACATCGAAAAGGTGCGCTTCCTGGAGCAGCAGAATGCCGTGCTCACGGCCGAGGTGAACCGGCTCAAGGGCAGGGAGCCCACCCGAGTGGCCGAGATCTACGAGGAGGAGCTGCGCGAGCTGCGGCGCCAGGTGGAGGTGCTCACCAACCAGCGTGCCCGCGTGGATCTCGAGCGCGACAATCTCATCGATGACCTGCAGCGGCTCAAGGCCAAGTGAGGACCCCGCGCTCCGCTCTGCAACCCCTTTCCATGGGCCGCCTGCCGGGGGACCAGGCCTGGGGGCAGGGACTGCTGCCAGCTGACCACCTTCTCTCTTCTCCTGAGCGCTTGGGGCCCTCTCCTGCCCCCCGCAGGGAGAGAACACCTGCCTTTGCCCACCCTGGGCAGAGGGACTCTAGAGCTCTCTTTCCCTGTGCCCTCACTCTGCAAAGGAGGCGTTTTTGGGGGGACAGTGGGAGCTTTATTGGTAGAAATGGGAGACCAACCAACCCCCTTGTGCCCTGTGGAAACCCCCGTAAAAAGCATGGACGGTGCCAGAGTAACGTTGATGAAGGGGTGATTTGAGATCAGGCAGGCAGACTCCTAGGGCAGGCAGAGGGAGAGGGGGTGTTGACAGGTGATCAGGGGTGGAGGTGGAGGGTATCTGAGCAGGAGCTCTCACCTCGCCTATGGTGAAGCCTTGGGAACAGGGTAGAGAGGGCCCTGGGCCCCTTGCCTGGCTGAGTCTGCATGAGGGAATGAGGGAATGGGTAAGTTAGAAGAAAGGGGAGTATGGCCGGTGGGCCAGCCCTCAGAAAGCTGGCAGCCAGTGTGAGCATGGCCGCGGTCCTGCCACGAACGTTAATTGAGCCTCTCCATCAGCCAGGCTGGGTCAGGGAACCAGGCACACTGTTTCTAACCCCAGGGAGGTCACAATGTGCTGGGGACATGGACTTCCAGGGTGTGTCTCCGGGGCAGAGCTTGGGTCACTTCCTGTCCCCTCCCTGGGCGGGGCCTGTCTCTACACAGTGACCAGGCCTCCTCTCTGAGTCCTGGGCCCACGCCCTGGCCAGAATCTAGCTAGCCATCTCCACTGATGGACTTGTCCCCACGGTCTGTCCTTCTGTCTGTTGTGGCCAGGCTGCAAGAGGAAATTCAGTTAAGAGAAGAAGCAGAGAACAATTTGGCTGCCTTCCGAGCGGTGAGCCCTCTCTGACCCTCCGACAGCTGTATCCCTTCTGTACTGCCTCCCCCTCCCGTGTGGCCCCTGGTCTCCCTCTGCCCTGCCCGGTGACCGGTGACCCTGTCCCTCTCGGTTGACCTCTCCCAGGATGTGGATGCAGCCACTCTAGCACGTATTGACTTGGAGCGCAGAATCGAATCTCTCAATGAGGAAATCGCGTTCCTTAAGAAAGTTCATGAGGAGGTATGTCCTCTGTCACTCTCCTGGGCTACACTAGGTCCTGGCGAAAGCAGTTGAGATGTGGGGTGGTACCCGGGCCCTGGGAATAGGGGTGCACGTTGCTGTGCAGGGCCTGGTGGGGGACCGAAGCCGAATCGCTTCATCTTGCAGGAAATCCGAGAACTGCAGGCCCAGCTTCAGGAACAGCAGGTGCAGGTGGAGATGGACATGTCCAAGCCAGACCTCACGGCCGCCCTCAGGGACATCCGGGCTCAGTACGAGACCATCGCGGCTAAGAACATTTCGGAAGCTGAGGAGTGGTACAAATCCAAGGTGGGCAGCCTTGGGTGGGGGGGGACTCTGGCCTCTCTGGCCCTCTCAGTCCTGGCTTGGGGGTGCTTGTTCCCCATTTGTGGGGAGGAGCTCCTGTGCCCACTTCTGCCTGTGTCCTGCATCCTGCCCGTCTCAGGGCCCCTCTTCTCTGCCCTCAGGTGTCCGACCTGACCCAGGCAGCCAACAAGAACAACGATGCACTACGCCAGGCCAAGCAGGAGATGATGGAATACCGGCATCAGATCCAGTCCTACACCTGCGAGATCGACGCCCTCAAGGGCACTGTGAGTCCCGCCCCCCTCACCCAGCCAGTCTTCCTGTTACAGCTCACAGCCTCTTGTGGCCAGCGGGGGCCCATTCTGTACCCTTCCTGGGTCTCTGTGTCCTCACATCGGCCACAGGTGCCAAAGCACGGTGGATGCCCAGTTGGGCCCAGGAATCCCGGGCCCCTGTCCAGAACTGAGCGGCACACACCCATGCTCCCCTTGACCAGTTCTGGTCCATGAGTTTCCACGTAGACTGAGGTCAGGGTTTCGCGGCTGGAAGAGGTCGGCCAGTCCCGCGCCTGCCCCGAGGTGAGGTCGTACCTCTCGTCACCCTAGTGCGACTCCCCACCCCCAGCCTGTGCTTGACCCAGCACCCCTCCCCTGCAGAACGACTCCCTGATGAGGCAGATGCGGGAGATGGAGGACCGCTTTGCCAGCGAGGCCAATGGCTACCAGGACAGCATCGCACGCCTGGAGGAGGAGATCCGGCACCTCAAGGATGAGATGGCCCGTCACCTGCGGGAGTACCAGGACCTGCTCAACGTCAAGATGGCCCTGGATGTGGAGATCGCCACCTACAGGAAACTGCTGGAGGGCGAGGAGAGCCGGTGAGGGGGAGGGGGGGGGCGCTGGGGGCAGGGCAGAGAGGTGTCCCCCTCCTCCCACTCCCCCCCCAGGATGGGGCTCACTGGAGCCAGAACTGGAAGCAGTTTTAGACAGGAGGCCACAGCTCCACTAATTGCAGAGAATTAACCAAGGCCACCTGGGTAAAAAGTGATTTAATTAATAGCTTTTATAAAAAGAGAAATAGAAGTATTCCCTCATCCACCTTCAGAACTAAGAACCAGCAGCATAAAACCATATTTAGCAACCAGTAATAAAATATTACTGCCAGTCAAGGGAGAGATGAGCAGAGTGGGGAATGATCAGGACGGAAAGGGAGGAGCAGAGAGACAGACAAGCCAGGGAGCCCTGGACCCACCCAGCGGCTGAGGGAGGGTACAGAGGCCTGGGCATGGCGGGTGTATGTGTGCACAAACACACACACAGGTGTACACACATACACATGCGCACTCGTGCACACAAGTGCCAAGAGGAAAAGAGACAGAATGACGTGCTTAAAGCAACTTCCCTCGAGACCCAGGAAACAACATACCGCTGGCAGGGGACTGGCGGGAGCCTTCTGGGGTGATAGGGATGTTTTGTGAGTTGACTTGGCCTGGTAGTTACATGAGTATATATTGATTCAAAGCTCTGGATGGTGCACTGGAGATCTGTGGATTTCACTGTGTGTAAACTTAGCCTCAACTGAAAGGAGATCAGTTACTCAAAAAGGCATGGCTCATGGATACCCATAAAAATGATACCACCTGAAGTTTAAAAATATCATCAGACATGTTTAGCTACAAGCTAGGTTTTATAGAGACCAGATTTTATAGAATAACTTCTACATCTACTGTTTTTGAAATTTATTATT